CCTTGACTTATGAAATATTTATTATTAATTAAATTATTCATTCAACTATTATTAATTTCTTGTAGGTTAAATATAAAGCAAACCAAATTAACTATGACCATCAGTACTATCATGTTCTAAAGGAATTAAACACTTAACAGATTCATCACTAGCTGTCGTAAATTTTAAGTTGAAATCATAGAGCTTATAATTGCAATTACCAGATTAGATTTACCATTTTAAATCACGAACTGATCTCAACTTGACCACTAATGAGATCTTGAAAGCACTGGACAGCCGTCTCACTTTCATTTGGGACTACTCACGAATAGGTATTCATGACCATGGATCCTAGAACAGAACCTAGGATCATCAATCTCGTGCATGAACGCCTAACCTCTGGACCACGAAGCCGGGGTCCATTACATTTAACTCAAGGCTTTATTTACAGGCTAATGAATGAAAACAAATAACGAAATTGTAATTGTTTAGGATGTTTCTTTAAAAAATTCAAAGGTATATTAAATATGACTCCAATTCAATAAACTTATTCCTCTAGGGTTTTTTTCTTTCATTCCATTAATTTATCATTAAATTGCAGTAGTTTGGATAATCTTATTGTTGATATTTTGACTGAAATGTCATTAGTCTTGACTGGAACATGAGCATACTGTGAGGATCGCCTCAATATACCCATTATGACACAATTTGATATAGAAATGCACGTCTCGGCTCCCACTGCTAACCACATTCTATTTATTCTGAATAAACTTGTTTCATAATGGGTATATTGAGGAAGTCCTCACGGTATGCTCATGTGTCAACAAAGTCAGATCAAATTTCAGTCAGATTATCAACAACGAGATAATCCATACAATTTCAATTGAGTGGCTCTCTGGATTCATTAGCTTGTTGGATAACCCGATGATGTTCGAAGCAAAAGGTACTGTTTGAATTCCGGGGTGAACACTAACTCTGGGATGCGTCTATATCCAGTAATAATAATAATAATAATAATAATAATAATAATAATAATAATAATCATTTGACTGTAAATCGAAGCAAGAATAGTATTTTCCGTAAACATCGTCATTTCATTCTATTTGTGTGGGCTGTGATATCGCCCGGGTGCCCAGACCGAAGCGGGAGTTTCTAGAAACTATCTGGTAAAATTTTATATTGGATGTTTGTGGAGATGTTTGAGTTTTCGTAAATAACTTCATTTACTTATCTTAATTAAACCAACACTGAAAAGAAGGAAGCACTGGACAGCTATTTCATCTTAATATCGGTGGCACAATATCCTGAATCAACTGAAGTTAGACATCTAAACTGTTGGATGGCAATCTATTCGTCTGAAGACTAGGAACTCGTCACGAAACCTAAAGGTTTTAAGTTCATTTACCGTGAATTCATGGCAGTACACTGTTGAAGATTTCTGTTAGATGATGAAGCAGCTGTCTCGTGTTTCCTGGTTCCAAGTGGTAGTCAATGAATGGTGTAATTTATGACAACATCGTTAATATAGCACATGGCATACATATTTGGATCAGTAATGTGGAACTATAACTGGAAAGTGATCTCTACTAACAAAAATTGAAATAGTGGATAGGTCTATTTTATTTACTTGACTGTATGAAGATCATTTTAAACTCAAATATTGATATAGGTAAGCATTTTATGTATGAATAGTCATACTGATTAACACCAAACAATGAATTATAGTCTACAGACAAAATAAAGGCTACACAGAAATAAAAAATCTGGTGCTCTAGCTTACATCGAATCATGAATTTAACTATTAAAACTAGTACAATCTTCCCAAATCCCCATTTTGATCATAATCATCATATGCTCACTAGTGACTGGCTTTAAGATGATTTCCTGGAGTTCTAGTGAGAATTCGTGGCCACTGGAGTCCAATAGGTGTCTGGAAGAGACAAGTATCTACCTTATACAATGGATGAATGTTTGCGCAATATCGTGAATTGATTAAGATTAGACATTAACACTGTTGGATACCGGCTCAATGGTCTGTAGTTTAAGCGTTTGCGCGCGAGACTGAAGGTACTGAGTTCGAATCCCGCATGAGGGATCGTGAGTGCGCACTGCTGAGGAGTGCTGTTCTAGGGCGAAACGGCCGTCTAGTGAGTTCAGTTTTCCATGGCAGTCTAGCTTTCATCAACTCATGAATTCAACATTTAAGAGACTAATTATCTGTTATGAATTGTTTTGTCTTCCTGTATTTCTATTTTAACCAACAAAGTTTCCAAAGGTCAGATAACATATTTTTTATTTTTTGACAAACCGACTTTTAATTTATTATAATTCACTCTTAAACCTGATATTTAGAAGCCGATATTCATTTTCGCATCATATTTTGAACGCTTATTATCAGCTCTGACTTCGTTCCAAAAAAACTGTTGATTTATAAACAGAGTCACAAGCAATACAAAAATGGACTGTTGATTTATGTTTTAAATTAAGGTTACTGTACAAACCTCGCTCATTTGAATGTAACTTAAAAAACTTATACTTCATTAGTTTTTCCATCGAATTAATCAAACAGAATAAACGGCATCATATATTTGATAATATTAAGTATAACAGTATGTTGCTCATGGTGACTTCAAGGTAAACGCTGTTTTAAATTTTTCTCTAAATGAAACTGACTAGTGAGATGGGAGAAATATTTAAAATAATCAAATGAAATGAATAATCGGTAGGTCCCGAAACCCAAAGAAATGATTAGGAACTGAATGCTGAGCTCTCAACGAAAGAACTATAGGTTCTTGCCTTGAGCCCTAGTAAGATTTTGGATAAATAAATACTACTGAAAATTGCAGTACTGAGAACTATATCTCGAGTCTCATCAACCCAAACAAATAGGATTTGGATGGTGTAGTAAGAAAACGAATATTATCAAGACCATGTGCTATATTAGCTCAATGTATCTCAAACAAATATATACTTGTTACGAACATTTATATGTAAAAATAAAAGGTCAAATAGATTAAAAATGGAGGGTAAGAGGAGGCAAAGATAATAAAGAAAATAATATGGAAAACAACTTGAAGCCTTGTCACGTCGGTTAATAAGCTAATATTACCATGGTAGGTTTAAGGTGGGAACAAATTGTCTCTAAAAACATAAATTGAGTTTGAATTTTCATGTGGTTAAGGCCTCAACAGACCTTAGTTTACGGCCTTTACCAATTTTGTACAATTTACTAGTTGAATTCGTGAGTCAATTAAGGCTACATCACCATGGGAAACCTGGAAGCACTGGAGGACTGTTTCGTCCTAGTATAGGACTACTCAGCAGCGCGCACTCACGATACCGCATGCGAGATTCGAACCCAGTACCTTCGGTCTCGCGCGCAAACGCTTAAACTATAGACCACTGAGCCAGTATCCAACAGTGTTAATGTCTAACTTCAACCAATCCACGACAACACCACAAAAGCCTTGTTCATATCAATCTTATGACGTGTTACACCTATTTGTTTGGTAATAGAGGATGTTAAACGTTTATCACCTACTCTTATTGAGTCGTTTGACTTTATTTGTTTCTGCAACCACTTAGGTGCATGTTCAAATACCCTAATCTGGAGATTACGGTTGCTTCTTTCTGTGTATTTGTGACCACAAACACACATCTTTAAATTAGTAAACACAGTAGGATGTGACGCAGCAATTTTCATGCCTTTTAGGTTTTCGGTGAAGCATGGACTTTGTTTCTTCCTTGATAAAGACCTTTCGATATTAACTGTTTTAAGCTTTTTAATCAGTCTGTCTGACACACCTCTGAACTGTAAGGTGATGTGGACATGCTTTTGTTGTGCCATTTTGTCTAGTTGACCTTTTATTTAAATATATTTATATACATATGAATTCATTTTGTATTGTTTGTTTGAATCTTCGCATTGATGTTTAGGACTTCAATTGATCAGTCTCTTATTGCCACATATGTATTCTGTGCTGATTACCTCGATATTGCCTTAATAAGCAGTATAAGCAAACATGGAGAGTAGCTAGAAGTAGAATGCGGAACGTGCGTTTCGTCCTATTTGGGACTCGTCAGCTGAATGTTCGTACGTCACACAGTTAATGCTCTTTCTGAGACTCAAACTCATTGTCAAGATGGAACCAAGAAGGATAAAGGTTCAGTCAATATATCAACAATGGGGAAATCAAAACTAGTAAAAATCCTATTAGAATATATCTTAGTTTAACAGTCAATGCTAAAATGTGGACTGTTTATGTATATCATTTTTTGGATATTTCTGTTCAAAGGTAAGTGCTTTATACACTAAATATATGGTATTCTTAACATATATTTGTGTCAGTATTAATCCATTTTATTGTCTTGTGCTTCCATTAATACCAGTATAAATATCAGAATAAATTGCTACATTTATAAGTGCTAAAAGTGATGCATAGTGCACATCGGCTTTAGACAAAAATATGAGGTGTATAAGAGTTCAAACACAGATATATTAATGAACAAATTTTGAACTCAAATGAATATGACCATCTATAAACAATCACGATTTATAAATGCCTACAACTTTCCGATATTTGTTTATACTATTCAAAGTAGTTTGAAACAAAAAAGCGAAACGTTAAGCTAACAATAAACGAATCAGTTTTAGAAAATCAAATTTCAAAGAAAACGAATCGAAAATATGCATCGTTATACTTCCTAAGCTGAAATTGTATATATCATATCATAAGTATAAGGAGTTTTATCCAATTGGATAAAACTATAAATATGTTTTGCAATATCATCGGAAAGTAGATACAAACAAACAAATCGAAGCAATGACAGAATAAATCATAACATATCAAGGTTTAAAAGTAACAATAGAACTGAAAAGAAACAAGTTAGAAATTGTACAATAAACATGAATTTACATGGGGTTCAACAGAAGGGATTGTCTCACAGAGACAAAAATCATTGGCATTTGAAAACTGACCAGATATAAAATAACACATAACACTTCTAATTACTTTTCCTAACTAATCAAGTGGCGTCGTTGTTACTGGTGTTTCCGAATGTCTTAAAATATCCAATTCATCTTCCTTATCTTTCATTTGTAAATCTCTCACCATTCGCAGTATATCCTTTACAGAAAAGTGTATTCCTTTATCTAAACATACAGTAATACGTATCAATCCGTTTGTATCGATTACAAAAATGCTCCTACATCAAGCAAAAATAAGTAAGCGTCAATGAACAACAACTAAATGGTAATTTATAAGACATTGTTTTGAAACTTTTTTTCTTAACCATATAAAATTGACCAACATTTGAGAAATTAATAAAATAAAATTTACAGATGTATGTATTGTTGTACAAAATGTATTCGATAAATGTTATAAAATCCAGCAACAAACTGTAATCGATTTACCTTACAACGACTGAAAATATATTTATATCAAATTGCTTAACTGTTCTTTTTTTGAAAACAAATTGACCATTGACGATTAGTTTTTAAAAGAAACTTTCTCAGATTTAATATGACACTGCCGGAGTAGATACATATGTGTGTTTATGAAAGAAAACGACAGTTAGTTAGTAAATAGAAACGCTGAAAATTCTTCATCTTTACCCTTGCAAGAACGGTAATTTAATTTCAAATTTAGATAAACAAGAAACATTACAGTATGTTGGAAGCTGGAGGTTATAGATTTTATATATCGTGAAACTAACATTGATTTACTTCAGCTTAATAGCTAAATAATAATAGTCTCAGTAAATCATCAGGTAACTGAAGTTAGAGTTTGAGTTCAAGTTTCACTTTTATTAATTGTCAGCTATTTTAACCAATAAATCACACAATATGAACCACTTTCCACTAAATATATCATTTCTGTGGTGTAAATTCATCCATATACGTCAAACCTCAACCATGTTTTTCCAATGATAATTCGTTCGACTTTCTTCATTTACAAAAATAATAAAGATAATTTGATACCCCTGTAAAACTATCTAACAAATGTTGAAAATTAAGGCGCGGTTTCTCTAAATTTGGTTAACATGTTAAGGAGATTTTGTTTCATAATGAAAAATATATAATTTTGCCATTATAGTAATTACATGTAAAATTGACATCTAAGTACATTTTGAAGAGAACAATATAAGTGATGCATTGATATTGATTTAATTGTTTTCATAATTACTAAAAATTATCACTTTGCTTTGGAATATATATATATATACATAGTATTTAGATAGAATAAAACGAAATGTTACTCAGTAATTGACAAACTATATATCATGAACAGTATTAGTATTCAGTCATATACCTGCCCATAATTAATTTAAAATTTTCGTAAAATACACCCATCGTTAACCATGGCAACCCTAGATCGATAACACACATCTTTTGTCCTCCTTCCCTAAAAGTTTAACTACTATAGTTATAAGAAGACGAGGATTATCAGAACTATGTGATATATTAACGCAATACATTTCGAACAATCTACTTGTTAAGAGCATAGTTATATACAAATGAATTTATGACGACATTAATAATAATAATGGTGATAAGCATAGATTGATAGCGGCTAGCAGTGGAAAAAAGGACGCGTGTCCCGTCCAATTCGGGATTCGTCATCTGGATGTTCCTGCATCTCAGAGTTGATGTTCACTCCTGGGCTCGAACCCAGAACCGCTGGCTTCAAACGCCACCAAGTTGTTTAAACTTCACTCCGTTGCACAAGCAAGTGGTTATCAGGACTTAGTAGCTAAGCAGATAACGCGATGTTGTTTGAACCGAGTGGTACTGGGTTCGAGTCCAGGAGTGAACATCAACTCTGAGATGCAGGAACATCCAGATGACGAATCTCGAATTGGACGGGACGCGCGTCCTTTTTTCCACTGCTAGCCGCTATCCACCTTTGCTTTTAATGCTTGTGAATTAAGGCAATACGCACAGTTTACATATATGCCAATAAGACATTGATCAATTGCAATCCTAAACATCAATGGGAAGATTCAAGTAAACAATACTAAGTGAATAATGGTGACGATATTAATAATAATAATAGTCCAAACAATGAACACAAGTTACTACGTCAAACAAAAAAGTTTTTACCAATTAATTTCAAATAATTTATACAGAATAGACTTATCCATTTCTGAATGCTGTTTGATACAATCCCTAAAAGTAATGTTAAGTGGTTGAAGGTAATCAATAAGAAGTCCTGAAAGTAAGTTTGGTGTTAGCTCTTATTCGTTGTCAGTGTATTTTTGAAAGAGCTGGTACTCCTATTGGGATTCTAGCTCATTTTGTCCAGTTTCATTGTTAACAAAATTATCGCTGAGCCACTTGAGCCAGGACTAGTCTTTTGTATGGCTAAGATACTCATCTTGATTGATTACTGAGTAGAAATAGTGTTGAGTAGATAGAATATATCTAATATTAATAATGAGGTAAATAACATTTGTTACTTCTCATAAACTATGCCTCAAAATACTTGATGCTAATGTTCATAACCATTTAGAATTCGTTACTTCTCCAAAGTGTAACAGTGAATCTTTAGTTAATAAACTAATGTTTTGATACTGACGATATTTTGATCAAAGCTAAATGAATTAACACACTCGAATCATGACAAGTCGGTTCAAAATACAAACCGTTCCTTATTCATATGGTCATTTTAAACGGTCAAAGCAATTTTTGGAAATCCTTGCAGCTAGATACATTGTGATGGATGTCACCTATTAGCATAACTCCAAAATGTCTTATTAGTTATCCTCTATCAACATGACATTAGGTAAATTTGAAAGGTTTCATATGAACGAATCTCAAACTGAACATCAACATTAAGAAGGAGGTACACCCAACTGACGAGTTCCAGTTAAGATGAAACTCTCATCCTAGTTACTACTACTAGCTGCAATACATCAATTCTATGGACATTAAACAAGTCGTTTAGGTTGGTTGCCACATTACGATCGGATTGAAAAATTTAGATGTATGATAAAAAGTAAATAGGTAATTGTCTTTGACTAAGTGACCGGTTTGCGTAATTATTATTATCGCCGTTGTGTTTTACAAGCGTAATAATCAGAATTAATCATACTCATTTTTTTGTATATTAAACTGTTGTATAGTAATAGGATAGTTTCTTAATTACAATATGTTGAGTATTTTAGTTCAGAATATTTAAAGAAACTTCACACCTAAGATCAATTAAATACTTCCAACAGACATAGAATTTAAGGAATATCTCAGCTGAGTTTCAGTTTTAAAGGATATTAAAATTGATGAATGGTTGCAGCTTACCTATGAAATACGTTTGTAATATATTAAACATATGTTGAAACTTAACGAACAATGAAAATTAATGAAATGAGAAATTCTAACACTTAGGATTTAATTCATTTGAGGATAACGGACCTACAAATTTGATGCTGACCAGTCGTGCATGACATTTATCAACGTTGTGTTATAGTCGATAATTTTATCTCTTCATCAGCAGTAGCTCTGTAAACAGTCTTATTGGGGTTTAAAGCATTCAGTATCAGATTCGAGTTTTAGTGTAAACATGAGCACTGAGATACAATTAATTCCTCGTAACAAGACAGAATTGGGACAGAACATTCATCATGCATCTCGTCACTAGCTACTATCCTAACAACTGTAATAATACTTGTTACAGAATTTATAATTAAGTGTTCGTCCTCACTATAAAGATGAATCGCACCACGATTCCTGTCGAAACCTTTACATAAGAACTACAGATCAATGACCTGTATATCTCTATTAAATTAAACGTTGAAATCTGTTTTTGCTAATAAACACGATAAATTGTGTTTCAGCGTATACCTTGGTGTTTTATTTTTTAGATGTGGTTATCAGTTGTGTAAAGAAACTTCATATGTTCAAACAATAATATCCTATATTGCACAAGTTGAATACCATTCAGAATTATACTAGAAAGTTGATCTAACACATGAAGAAGCTCCAACTGAAAAATGCAACCAATCTATTATATTTTTATTATAATTTATTTTGATAAATTTAAGGAAAAAGGAAATATATATTGCTTTGGTTTGAATGCTGTTTGTGTATTAAGTGATCTAGGTAATGCCAATCCCAAAAGGATTATGTCGTTGCTAGGAACGATATGAATCATTTCACCAGCCAAAAGGACTGAATTCGATGCCACTGTTGACAAATGTGCAAGCTGTACAGATTGTATCAGTGTAGTCATTGTGTCACAAATTATATAAAATAGAACGATCGCGGCTAGTAGCAGAATTTAGAATGCACACTTTTTCTCGTTTGTGGTTCTTCAGTTAAATGCTGGCGATCACATCGGTACTTAAACCCAGTACCTTTTTCTCTAAACGCTAAACCCATTTCCAACTCAATGAACTATAAATCAAACTTAAATTGAAATTATTGGCGATGCTTGAAGATATATCTAATGTTTAGGAGACTTACATATTGTATAAATGTTCAACTTAAGCAACACCGTAAAAGGAACATCCCAGTTTAACTTCCACTCCACTAATTTAACTTTGCAAATAAGTAAACAGTATACTTTATCGAAACTTGAAATATCAACAAGAAATAACATTCATCCATTCACCATTACAGTAACAATCATTTAAAATAATGTTTATATTTATGTTTCAATGAACCTGGATAAATTTTAACCGGTATACGCTAAAAATAGAAATATGGCTATAATGAGCTTGCTAAGAGCCATGATACATACATCCTACTACTTCAGCATATTACTTTTCTATATATAATTGGATATAATGACATTTTTCAGTTTTACAATGGGCAAATGCATTGGAATTAATGACCACACGAGTTTCATAAACATTAAATTATGGGTTAATATTTTATTAACTAAGTGACTGGAGAGAACCATTACTACATTTTGGGTACGGATCTCAAACTGTTCAATTCTAGTCAGCAGAGCGTTTCTACCTTCTTAAACAAGCTGGCATTCTTCATTATTAGTGTCATATTCGAAGATAATACTGGTGAAATATTCTATTAGCAACAAATTTTCTATAGAATTAAAATTGACTGTTGAACAGTATCCAGTCTTACGTTTGTATTTCTTAATTTTAAACAAATTTTTATCGAAAACGCTTCTATTTATTGATGAGTAGTGAGTGAATTCAAATAATCCTCCCAAGCCTACAATATGGCAAATGTCAAAAAAGGTTATTAGTCTTACTTCTTAAGCTCTATTACAATGAAAAGGTTTTACAGAAAGGCTTACATTAAAGCACTTCCATTATCCTCATTAGAAACTCCATATGCTTTGCAGATTCTCATATTTTTATCTTCTAGTAATGGAAAGTGGACATTTTCACCAAGTCCATTCTTCTGAATTGGCGCGCAATACCATGCGATATGAGATTCTAGGGAATCCGGAGAGATTGCTAAAATTTCACAATTGATTTCTTGAAAGTTTGACAAATAACTGTTGAAAGTTAATAGCTCTTGTGATGATAGTTTTAGGCTATAAATAATTTAGTATGAAAAGGACTGATAAATTAACTATTCTCTAGAAATAATGAAGGAAGTTGCACAAATAACAATATAATGTAACAATATTTAGTTATTTAGTGATTTAAGACAGTTATTAAAAACCCTGAATACAATTCACGTACTGGTTATCACCCTTCAGCAAGATGTCTGAGACGTGAAGAGAAATATTGCTACTGGTGGCACGCGGTTTGAATCTCAAGAACAGAATCAGTTCTCACGATATTTTAGGCTAGCCTTGTCAACAAGTAGCAATTAGCACGAAAACTATGCCTTGGGATTCTTTTTAAATGTCATACAACACCTAACACCAAAACAAAGTATATGTGACATTTTAACCTCAGTCAACATTATTAATCAGACGAGCTTTAGTTTCTGCATGGCTTACGTTGACACCAAGATACCTGTTTCAAATTATTATTAGCCTACCAAGAAGTTTAAATGAAGTTTTCATAAACAGAAAGACTGATCGTCCACTCAATGCTTTTATTACTCTTCACTAAGCAATGGACAAATATATTTTGATATTTGCGTATTTACCTAGCTATTAGCCTATCAAGTATAATAAAAGGCCTTTTTAGTAGTTGTCTTTCTTAAAATTGAGGATAGTGATCTATCGCTTTTACATAGAACAAAAACAGTAGAATTCTCGCATAGTAACTGAAGGAGCATCAAGGCTAACATTATAATCGTTTGCATACGTATATATTCAGTATAATAATTATAAATCACTTCGTTTTTTATCTAGAAAAATATGAAGTGAATGCATTTAATCATAGGTTAATACTCAAGTTTATGTAGTCTAGTACTTAATCCTGATCTAATCTTGTCGACTAAGCTCACAACATCCTAATTAAAGTGGCTAACTCATATTTTATGTTTTTTAGTGAGATAGTCGATTTACATCAGTTGAAATTCAGTGGAGTATTCTCCAGAAATCAAATGATTCTCAGTATGGAGCACAAGGCATCCAAAATACATTGTTACGTCACTGTCTACCTTTTACGTGGTTGGACTCCACCAGTTTTGACTCTTCCCTAGAGTTAATCTTAGAGCTAATAATTAGTAAAGAGACGATTATTATTTGATTAAATTATCTGTAGAAACTAGTTGGATTTGGAATGATAGCAACAATTATCCTAATTATTTTTTACCATATTTTGCTTCTTATGAAAGCAATTTAAGTTTTGAGACTGCTATTGAGTTGTCATACTAAATAATACCATTCATGTTGCGTCAAAAAAAACGGTCATACTTCTTGTAATCCGCCTCTAACCTTTATATAATAGATAAAATATCTTTTCACTTGTTCAGTTCAACTCCAAAACTTTTTTTGAGTTGTCAGTTCTTAATATATATCCGACTTAAAATGTGCCGAATGGAATAGCTGGATCGATATCTCCCCTACCCATTTTTTGTTTTCTTGTTTGCTCTGATTATTAACGCATACATAAATTGTTCTTTCCATTTTCTGTTGATTAATTTTGACTAGACCATTATGTAGTTCCCTTAATTCCTTAGTTTGGAAAACTTTGAATCTAGCTTTCTGGTTTCAACCGATCTTTGGTCATTCAGTAAATATATGCTCTTTGGTGTAAACTTAAGAATTTAAAGAATTAATATGGCTTAGCTTATAAAATTGTATACGGGTTTAATAATGTCTTCCAAAATATAAATATTTATCGGTTAGGCTGAAGCTGTAGATAAACAAACAAGCACCGATGATACTTTGTGTTTTGCCAGACATTTTACGCTTTCTATGTCTTTTCATGCCCTTCAAATAAAACAGTTTAGTTTTTGCAGACACTTTTTCTCGTAAAGAAACGATGATTTATCTGAATCTGCATTCTATTTTTTTTAAACTTAGAAGTAATCACTGCAATAGCGTTTATTGGAGTCCCTCATTAATCTTCATTAGCATGCTCTGAAACCAACCTAATCAAATATTTTTTTGTTTTAAGGTTCAGTTGACTGGTGCAGGAAGTTTTTGATGACTTATCAGTAAGCTAATTTCTAGTGAAACTTTAGAAGTGAACCTAGTGAATAATTAGATGAAGATATGTGGAGAGCTTGTTAAGACAAAAGTGAAACCCTAGTAAAAATACCGATTCGATAGAAGTTTCTGGGCTGAATTCTCAGACGTTGCCCGATCACAGAGTCTTGTTTTATGTACTGTGTCTTCTTTTGTATACTGTAAGGCTAAAGACCCGTAATAATCAGTAATGATAAGCCATAAATTAGAAACTAGTGAAAGTTCTAAAGCAGTGACTAATAAACGTTTTTTAGCGCTGTGGGCATTTCTCAAAGTCTTCAAGTCCATTGATGAATAAGTGTTTCCGATTATATTCTCCATCAGCTTGATACCTCACCTCAGATTCTTCATCGGTCTGCTTCACTGTCTCAACGCAAAAGTTAATACACTTGGGTGAGTTCAACGAGTGAATAACTTGAGTGATAAGACGTTCCAATCCATTCTATGGCGAACATAAAAGCATTCAAGTCTCTTACCCTTATCTTATTTTAAACCCTAAAGTAGTGTCATGCTGATTTTGTATCTTAAATGAATGTTATATAGTAGTTTAGCTCCGTCTAGGATCAATCTTTCACTAGACCATAAAATTAAGGTTAAAAATCAAAGCCGAACAAACTCACAGACAGATCCCGCATTTCCAGTGAAGCGGCCAAGAATTGCAACGTCTTACACGGAAAAATAAATAAACAATATTGCCTAATTATCCCGTATACCCTATATATATTAATGTACAGCAATTGGCAACATCTCAATCTCCCTATTTTGAAGGACGTTTTGCCTGTTTTGAGTTAATTTCGAAGAAGCCAAAATAGAGAAATTTGGAGGTCTTTTGAAAAATGATATAAAAACCTCGAAATTTCCCCAGGTCTGTGGTCAATCCTCAAAGTGTTTTCAAATGTTTCTGAGGAATCTTATAACATTTAAGGGTTTATCCCAAAACATTCCAGAAACCTTGGTGAAAGCTACCATATTTTTACAACTTTAGCGAAAACCCTCAAATTTACCCAAAGTTTCCTCAAAATAAAGGAAAACATGTCTGTAATTGTTGGCAGTAATTCTTTTAAAAAAACCTACAAGTTTGAAGGATAAAATATGGCGACCAAGTATTTTCCAACATAATCTTCTAATCTTGTCACACCTTTGGTCCCGTTCTGCAGAGATTTCGTAGAAAAGGCAGGTGCTCTGCTGCCAACTCGGCGAACCCGGAGGTCTTGAGAAAGCTTATATTTTTGAGGCAAATGTATAAAGTTAACAATCACTACCTTATATTGTTTGTACATAGTTCTGCTGTCAGTGAAAATTAGTAGTACTTTTGAAAAAGAGACGACTTTCAAGGTCATATAGAGGCTATCGATCTTATTTACTCCTGTTACTCCTCGTGAAGGAGCATAGGCCGCTCACCAGTATTCTCCATCCAACCCTGTCCTGGGCAATCCTTTCCAGCTCCTCCCAGTTGTTATTCATCCTTTTCATATCTGCTTCTATTATCCGACGTAATGTGTTCTTTGGCCTTCCTCTTTTCCGCTTCCAAGTTAGGGCTTGTCTCGTGATGCAGGCTATCGATCGGCATTTTATTATTCTGTCCTGGTGTTCAGATAATAAGGTCCCAATAACAACCTATTACTTGGCTGTCTACAGAATGTTTTGTATGACATTAGATTTTAATCTCTTGGCTGATAACTTCCGATTCTTATCTACAGAAAGCGGAACGATAGAAGTTTCTGCATTCAATATTCAATCACTCGGTGTTATTCTCGCAAGCCTATGCTCGGGAATAACGATTTCTTGACAAGATTACATTTACCCAGCTCGTTTGTTACTGCCGAGAAACGGAAATGTTTACAAAAAAGGCCAGCTAGTTTCGCCAGCTAAGAGTTATCACATCTTAACTCGGCTGAACCGCCAACCGTTCTGGGACAGTGCTATTATTTTATTATGCTATCATTTTATTTGAAAGCATCGACAATTCATTTTTTGGCTTTCACTCATCCATATTGGTTCATCCCGTACTAGTTGACTTGGTCCATGATCGTCTGATACTTCACAGATGGTTCCAGACGTTAAATAAGTAAGGCCAATTTTATTACTGTAACTGGAGTTTCACTATGTACCAAACTCTGCCCGCTATTATTCCTAAAATTTATCTACGATCCCTCAGTAGACATAAAATACCCAGTTTTCAAGCGCCGAGACAGTGAGAAATGTTGAAAAGTATTCAAATACAAGGGTGATTTACGTGAACTCCAAAGAGAGCTCGCTATTCCAGTGAAATTGACGCCCAGGAATAGATTGACATTCGAACTACATTGTCTCTGAACGTACCTGGACATTTCAAATCCTAGAATCTTTATGATGTTACTCAAGACTTATGTTTTAAAACATGATGAAACACAACATTGTCAAACCATCCCCATGAAAGAAACACTAGTCTCTTATAGCATACGTAAAACTGCCACAAAGCGGATTGTGAAACTAAAGAGCCAACGAGACATAGACAGCCCCCCACACTAGGGTTTGATAGCACTAAATTACGGGAGTACACGGAGGGACTTCAAAACAGAGTACAACATATAAGGCACTTTGAGTCATCCCATTCAGGACTGTAGCTTCCAAACTAAAGCAGCTTTGAATAAGAAATAACTGTTGAAGTTAATTAACATACGCGTTATCTCCGTTGCAATCAAAGCAAACGAATTGGATTATTAAAGTTCTTAATTATTATTATTAAATTTTGTTAAATATTTGAACGTTTATTACCTAAAAAAATGCTATCACTCAATTATCCAACCAATGATTGTATTAGTTATTCGAAATCTCATCGAGTAAATTGACAAAGGCTATAAGAGAATTACCAAGTGCAAAAAACAAATTTATTTATCAATATAGGAAATTTATTTTATCCAGTACTAGAAAAGTGATCCGATTCATAGTCAAAATCTACACTTCCAGTCAATTGAAGCAATTCAATCACTAAAAAGAATGATTTAATACAGTAGCCACTAAAACCAAATATCGACTAAAACAACGTAGATGTAGTTCGGGATTTTCATGCAAGAAACATCCCAAAAGGATCTCACTAATATATGTAACCTGCATTCGAGACTTATCCCCCATGATAAAACCCACGAAAATGTATATATCGAAAAGCTATTGCCTTGGTAAGATAAAAATTTTACATTACGAATTAGCATTGTCTCGAATGGCCCCATGTGTTGTGATCATAACTCGATCAGGAGACAGGTTTAAGCGAAGGCTTGACATCCACGTTCATCTAGAACAGCTGTTTCTGGTGTATATCTCTTGTTTCATTACTGTTGCCATTATTCTCACTATAGTTATTGTTATCACTAGTCAATTTCCCCCATCTCGCTCTCTTTCACTCCCGCCAATCAGTTCCTTTTGGATTGCTATCCGTTTATTTGTTTGCTTAGTCAATTTGTCTAGTCATTTTGACCTTCGTCCTCTCTAAACTCTTATTTTATAATTTCTTATGTTGAAACAAATCGATCATCTGTCCGGTGATGAGATAATTGCTTGTTTTAGCAACCCTTCAGCGTCAGAACAGTCTGACCAAAACTATTAACCTTGAATCTACTAACAAAGTAGCTAGGGTTGGTATAACTAGTTGGTTAGAGTGGCCGTACTGGACGATTATAAAAGACAGAGAAAGAAACCACAGCATAAAGAGGTGAAAAAAATTAGTTGACTTAGACTATAATTATCGACACTGACACTACGAGATATTATAAGAAACCAAATGTTGAGGCAGTGAGTTCGTTTTTGGACATATGGAACATGGGAACCTACAAACTATCAACTCTCTATATCCTTTGATGATGGAGAACTATCAAGAAAGTAATCCACATCACATAAATTATCGTGAACAACCGAGTCGTAGTAAAGGTATGCAAATCTAAGTCAGCTTAAACAACAACAACTACAGTGAAACTGGAAACTAAACGTAGCAAAGATTGTAGTAGGCATCGAGTCGCGTATGACTATGATCACCACTACAGATCGACTACGTGCCAGTTACCAAGTTAGACCTCACCGTAGGCCAAATATCAGAAGGCGGTTGGAGATATCTGTTGGAGATCTCGTGGCATCGAAATAATACCAAGATCGTGCCAAAATCTACAAGCAAGACTACTAGTGTACGAGAGTTCGTGCAAAGTCACAAAAACAGAAGAGGGTTTTTTGGTACACTTAAAAAAACAGGTGCTGTAAAACAATCACTGGATCGATAAGTTATAATAATAATTGTTTCCATTATACTAATCGCATTCTCTCCATAAAAGTAGGCCACTACGGGATCCCCTCTCTGGAAAGGGCTTACACTTCCGATACATGGCGGTTTCGTTCGTGAGACTGATCGGCAAACGTGTGATTGTAGGACGAAAGGGTTGACAAACGGGGAGCGATCGTTGATCCGCGGGTTGTCATCGAAGGTCGTTTACGTAGAACGGTACCATGAAAAACGTGCTGTATTTGTTGCTCAAGTTAGCGTACCACACCAGAATGGTTTTTATCCAGTATATGAGGTTTGTGTCCGTAGGGGTCCGGACCAGAAAGTCCTGCAGACGTAGGACGGAACCACACTGAGCCCAGAAGCCAGAAGCGATCATAACAAACAAGTTCGAGACCATGCGTATGCCAGACATATTCGGAGCCAGAACATCGACTGAGTGCGTTGACAAGGGCATGGGTGATCAGGCCAGTTTTCGCCTGAACGGGCGATAGTGGGGGCGGGGGCTCGGGATACAACAAAATCAAGAAAAATATAAAGGTGTAGCATGCGTGTATTATAAGGATAGTGTACTATGCCGCATCCGTTGTTGATTGAGAAGTTAGTCACGAAAGCTTACGGGTTGGAGTACTCGGAACATCATACGGTAGTCTCGCTCGTACCTCGTGAGACTGCAATCTTGTTCGATATCAAGGGCGGCGTGGTCTGCTGATCTGGACGTGGGACTGAAGTCTTGTCCGTAGATGGTGCAGATGACACGTGATGTTGACTGGGACGTGAGAATGAGGTCTCTGAAGTATCCAGCGTAGGATCCGAAGTAGATGAAGGGATCCCGCTAGCAGGTTTGATGGGTCTAGCATTGGGTATCGAGTTATCAGGCAGGGCACTGTCATCAACATGTACTGGTTTGAGGCGAATAATGATGGCTATCTCGACGCAGCCGTGTTGATCAACTTTGAGGGTCTTTTCGTGACGGCAAATCACATGAAAAGGTCCTTCGTAAGGCTGTTGCAAAGGTTTGCGTACCGAATCTACTCGTACGAAAACATGCGAACAGGTAGATAACTCTCGAGGGAGAGCGACCTGTTGATGCTGTATCCCAGCTGACAATGGAGGCAGTGTTCTTATATATTCAGACAATCATTGAAAGTAGTCTGACTTGCCAAAATTGTTACAGCCCCGTGGTGTGAAAAATTCCTCAGGCAGACGCAATATCACGCCATATACATGTTCAGCGACGGAACACTGGATATCTGCCCTTAAGCTCGTTCTGATACATAGATGACGAGCAGCTAGGTTCCATACCAACTGTTGTTTTCGTGCACTCAAAGAACACTTTTAAGACTGCGATGAAACCGTTCAACTAAAACATTTGATGCTGGGTGGTAGGCGGTAGTGCGTATGCGTTTCGTACCAAGCAGACGAGTCGGCGCGGGGGATAATTCGGACTCAAGTTGTCGTCCTTGGTCGGTCGTGACAGTCGAAGGACAACCGTGCGGCGCTATGTATCGTTCTACGAGGCGGTGAGCAACTGTCTCAGCCTCAATAAAGGTATTGAGAATAGATTCGGGCCATCTTGTGAGACGATCGATGCACGTAAGTGATCGTGCACGTGCGATGGTGGCAATAGTCCCACAGTATCTACATGAGCGTGATCGAAGCGAGCATCAGACGTAGAGAACGTGCCGATGGGAGTAGCCACATGCGTGTGCGCTTTTGATCGTTGACATTGTAAGCATTACATCACCTACATACGGACATCAGTAGAAGTATCACAGAGACTAGTATCTGAACCAGTGGCTAGGGGTACTTCCCGGCACTGAAGAGGTGCAGAATGTTGTATTTCTGTACAAGAGAGATCGCTTGCTTGGGTGGCACCCAGAGCAGGAGATCAAGCACCGGCAAAGTAACTACCTTCACTTGGATACGCAACAGAGCGTTGGCAACATAGCTCGCCTTCAATGTGACGAATGTCTGTCGTGAACTGAGAGATATAGTCCAAATTTCTGCACTATTGTGACGAGTAGCGGTCAGACTTGGTACGCGGAACATACGTTAAAGGCTTGTAGTCGGTCGATGGTTGGGACAAAGTCACCGGCTCCATGTCTGTTTACAGTGGCACATCTCAAGGGGGCTGAAAAAGGGTACAAGAAAAAAAGGACGAGAAGCAGAGCAGACAATTATCATGAATGAATAGTTAAGGTATGACTACCCAGTCTAATTCTTTTTTATTAAGGTATTTATTAAGGAAAAGCATTCCAGTGGTTTAAAGAAAATAATTGTAAACAAGGTATGGATGGATAAACAACTGACAAATGGAGATGGTTCAGAAAGAAGCTGAGAGTATGGGATTATGTGTAGTTATAAAATATAGTGCTGAAAAAGGTATTCTCATACAAAAATGTCCGTCTCCCTTCTTTATCGAAGATATTTGAGCCCTTTTCTGCAGATTTTATAGGGTCTTCATTAGGCTTCTTTTTTAGCGAATTGTCTAATTTGCTTGTAATAGGATTACTCAGTAGGAATCGAAGCCAATTCAGCGTTCTAGACACGACTTAATGTGGCAGTTTACATAATAAATCAGCATCGATATCATTGGTTCATGACATTCCACTAGACCATAAGGAGCCATAATTAAATAAAATGTTCTGCCCTACGAACATGGGTAGATTGAAGTTATCCCCCACCTTTTTTATGTCTACCAGCTTTACCGTTGGCATACTGCACGAAGAGGTATAGAGTTTGATGAACGGAGAAATTGGAAGATAGTAATATATGCGGATAAGACATAATTGGTTCTGAAGAGTGTTTGACATTTTCAGTTACTGAATCGTCAGAGGTAAAGGTGACAGATTACGATCTTTTAGTTGGCCTAAAGTTACTAGCCATAACTTGAATCTGGGTGGGTAGAGAGCCCGTTTGACTAAACAGAATATCTGAGTATGTAGTTACTATCATGTACTAGCTGAGTTAATACTAGTATCAGAGACTATTAGTATATAATGTATTTTATATATAAGGTGTTCAGTTATAACGTAAGAGAGTAACAACCAACTGAATATTTATATTTCAACCAGCATAATC